AAATAACAAATTAATTAACCTGATTTGCCTATTGTCATGTTCGCGGTAAAAGAAACCAGCATGAGGAAAGTTAAAGACTATTCGATCAAACAGTTTTCGTTTGAGAGAAGCACGTTTGCTCATTGTATGAACATCTATTCCATGCAAAATTTTGCAGCCTAGATTTTCCAGAACATTCACGTTTTCCTCAGCTTTTGAATACTTCCTCACCAACTCCTCTGGGTTTAATTTTCAGAGGTTAAAAGATTTCTAATTAATTCAATTACAACAATTTCTCAATATGTACATACAAAATGTGGGAATTACCTCTTGAATCGAGGGAAGTAGCAACAATGTTGGATGCAGAACCAAATCTTGTGGCTAAAGATAAAGAGAAGGAGAAATCTCCCTCTCCCACCAGCAGAATATTGTGATTGCCACTGTACATTTTTGACCTTTTCTTTCCCATGTTGCAGCTTCTTCCTCGGTCCTTCTCTTCTGCAATGCATAGCATACTATATATATATATATATATATATGCACGCACATATATGTTGTAATATTCTTCTCTTCAACAGATTAGTTTTTGACAGAGGCAGAAGGGAGAAGAAAGGGATCTTTGTGGGAAATATATGAAAGGCAGAATCCTTTAGGAATTCGAATAACACAAGAAATCTAAAGAATTGACATGAAAAATGATCATAGCCATACAACAATAGGGGATTTAATTCAATTATTAATTAAATCTGCTCTTTGTTTTTGGTAAATACTAATGGAGTGCATGGGCGGTCTTTGGGAAACATCGGGGATTTCACTGGACATCGACATAATTGGTTGCCATGGCTTCTGCTTTGAGCCATCATTTTCAGTACCATTTTTAATTGGAGAAGCACGATGGGATCGATATTAGGATGGCATGCCTCTAAGAACGTATCTCTTTTCTTTTTTTCTTTTTTATTTTTGTAAAGATTTTCCTAACATATACTATAAACATATATACTAAAGGGGAAGTTAATGTTAATTTTTAGATTTTAATTATTAATTAATATTAACAATATATATTATTATACCAAGAAACCTTTTTCGAAATAAAAAAAATATGTTTTATGTTTTCAAAGTAAAGAAAATAAAAAAAATTATTAGATTCGAATTAAAAATTTAAAGATGATCGGCCCATAAAATAAAATAATTTTTTTTATTCTATTTAAAGTTAGCATCAGAATCTTAAAAAACGTGTTTCAAGTGGTAAGTAAAATTCTAAAGTAAAGATAATTGATTTGAATTTTAATATCGATTGAAATGATTCATAAAATGAATCCTCTTTTTATTTTATTTTTAGAAAAATTTCTTGTCAGCTTTACCTTCCTAAAGATTAGAAGGAAAATTATCTTAAAACTACGTCGTTTCAATAATTTTTTATTGAAAAAAACTAAACTACCTTATTTTTAAAGCACTCCTAAAAGTGATTTTTGTCATTTTTCCTCTTAATTTTTGAGAGATAAGACGAACAAGCACTAACCCTTTTATTTTTATTTTTAATTGACAAGATGATATTTTATCCTCACTGTCATTACTCTTTCTTAAACTTGCAAGTGCTGCATCCTCCAACAGGGAATGTTTTGTTGCACTTTGCTTCATCCATCTCCTCTCTTATTTACATACCCTGGATACTTGTCTTTGTGAAATGGCACTTGAGATTTCAAAAACAGCCCCACCTCCTCTGCTATATTCCCTATTCCCCACTCGTCGTATGGATAACCAGTCTTCTGGGTTATATGGACTTCACCGTCATTTTCCAAAATATTCTTTGCATTTCTCAGAAATCCCCTCAGTAAATCCTGCTGCAACCTAATTAATTAATTTATTAACAAGCAAAATTAATTACTCACTCAAAATTAAAAATGCATGATTGTTGTTCTAGTTGAACGAATTAACAAATTAATTAACCTGATTTGCCTGGCGTCATGTTCGCGGTAAAAGAAACCTGCATGAGGAAAGTTGAAGACTATCCGATCAAACCGTTTTCGTTTGAGGCAAGCACGTTTGCTCATTGTATGAACATCTATTCCATGCAAAATTTTGCATCCTAGATTTTCCAGAACATTCAGGTTTTCCTCAGCTTTCGAATACTTCCTCACCAACTCCTCTGCGTTTAATTTTCAGAGGTTAAAAGATTTCTAACTAATTCAATTGCAACAATTTCTCAATATGTACATACAAAATGTGGGAATTACCTCTTGAATCCAGGGAAGTGGCAACAATGTTAGATGCAGAACCAAATCTTGTGGCTAAAGATGAAGAGAAGGAGAAATCTCCCTCTCCCACCAGCAGAATATTGTGATTGCTACTGTACATTTTTGACATTTTCTTTCCCATGTTTCAGCTTCTTTCTTGGTCCTTCTCTTCTGCAGTGCATAGCATACTATATATATATGCACACAGAGAGGGAGTGAGTATTCAAAAGTTTTAATCTTCAAAAAATTAGAATCCCCACCGTCTCCTAGTTATCCGTGAATATTGCCAATCAATCAATCAATGCCTTTTTGGGAGACTGAACTTTGTTGTTCATGTACATTTGCAGTGATTAATTGGAAGGCTTGAAGAAGATGAAAGGATACGATTAATGACAATGCTACTACTGCTTCCTTTTATAGTTATATCAGAGAATTCCATTCACTTTTTCATCATTATTTCTACTATATGGAAAAGATTAAAAAAAAAAAAATTACTAGTATATGGAAATATGTAGTATTTAACTTGATTGGCCAAAGACAACTTATATTGATTTCCAGAAAGTAAAAGACTAAAAGGTCAGGTTTTAATTCTGATTGCCATCTGCAGATGCAGCATTCTTATTGCATACCCTTGAGCCTTGGACTGGCATAATATAGTAAGGAATATCAGTTCTCCTTGTATTTTGAAAATGCAGTCTTTATAAAAAAAAATGAAACTTAATATTCCATAAGGCCTTCAAGAAATATTTTATAAAGGGAAAATTTGATTCTAATTAATTTTGTCACATTGAAACAAGATATATAGTAATTTACTGGGCAATTTAAATTTGCTTCTGCTTCTTGAGTGCTAACAACATTCCTTATTCTTCTCGGTAGTAGATAAGTTAACATTAAAGCAAACGCAAGTCTCTCTACATTCCAATTGAGAATCCTCGAGTTTCAGACAAATTAGAATGGTCTATCTAGCTACACTTTCTCTGATGCCTTGTTAAACTTGAATGTGCTGCTTTGTCCAACAGGGAATGCTAGATCACATGGCATTCCATCCCCTCTCTTATTTTGATACCCTGGGTAGTCCGATCGATTAAATGCTTCTTTCTCAACCAAGGACAAACCCTCCTTCTCCGTCAACTCCTCTATCTCCCACTTACTAAATGGGTAAGCAGTCTTATGAGTTATGTGCACCTCACCATTTTCTGCAAGCATTTTCTTTGCACTCCTTAAGAAGCCCCTTACCAAGTCCTGGTGGCGCCTAATGGTAGCATTAGCAAGGCATTGATTAGCTACAACATTATATATACCATCAACTAAATATACAAGTAAAATTACTTATAGCTAGCTAGCTAGCTAGCCGGGACAGTTTCACTTGAAACTTACCTAATCAGCCACGAGTCATGTTCACGAAAAACAGTATTGAAACCAGAATGTGGAAAATTAAAAACTATCTTGTCAAACACTTTCTGTTTGAGGAAAACATGTTCACTCATTGTGTGAGCATCTATTCCATGCAAAATGTTGCATCCCAAATCCTCCAAATCTTTGAGATTTTCCTCTGCTCGTGTGTACTTGCTCAGCAACACCTCTGTCATTTTCAGGTTCAATTACCCTACTTATCCAATACACATATATATGCTATAAAGAGGGAATTGGGGTTCTTCTGTTACCTCTGGGGTCCCGAGAAGTAGCAACCATGTTGGTTGCAGAGCCAAAAGCATTTGCTAAGCATGAAGAAAAGGAGAAATCTCCTTCTCCCACAAGAAGAATTTTGTGACTACTGCTGTAGTGCTTAATCCATTTTTCTTCTTTGTTTCCTAGTGTATTATCCTCTTCCATACTGCTCATGCTATACTTTCCTTCGTTTATGCATCCATACTGCTCATGCTATACTTTCCTTCGTTTATGCAAAATACATACACTATTATATATATATAGAAGTTCTGATCTATTCGGAGTCCTCACCAACTCCTCTAGGCTAGCTATAGTTATCTCGAATCATGTCTTGAAAAACTCCCCACCATTAGAGATTTCAATTAATGCTTCTTTGAAAGGTCTCTTATTAGGTTTCATTCAATTAGTGGCTCTCGTCTTGGTTCATGTACAATTACATTGACTATTAGAAAGCTGGAAGGAGATGAAAGGGTAAAATAAATTACTGACAGTACTTCTTTTCAGATATTCTTAAGGATTCATTTCTTCATTATTGCTACATGTAATGTGACAGGGGAATAATGGATTACTATTAATCATTATTAATAAAGGAAACTAAAGAAACAAAACTACCCAAAAAAAAAAAAAAAAAAATGCCAAGAAGAGAGATTTGAGGTTAAGGTTAGAGTTTCAAATCTTTACAAAGAGCTAAGCAACTAGAACTATCTGTGTGAAGTGAGGACGCTATGCCAACTTTCTTCCAATAATGCGGTCTCTAATTAAGGAACTTGTATTTAGGAAAGCAATGACAATGCACGGCAGTCGGAGGAACACGGCTCGATGTATGCAAGAAAGACGTCTCAGTTGGGCGGTGGCGTGGTGGAAGAAACAAAATTAAATGAGGAGGAAGGTAGTCAGAATGGGATAAGGGAGCAGGCAAATGTGTTGACACTGACAGCAATACAAATGGGCCATTCCCCTTCAAGTGGGCCTAAGGTTGGTGCAGACTTAATGGGCCTCAAATACAACCTGAGATAAATTGTGGGACGGAGGATCTTGATGATGAGATACAAAATGGGGACTCGAAAACGTTGAGGCTGGATCCAAAATAAATAAAAACACCCAAGATATTTCTTTTGGCTGGAGATGTATTAACAACAGTAACAGAGAGGAAAACAATGAATTCTGGAAAAATCTGGACAGTGATTCTGGTTATGCACGAGAAGGGAGGAAACGCCAAAAGAAGAAGGATAAGGGGCTTCGACGGAGGAAAGCAAAATCTTGTGCTTCGGTGTACAAGGAAGCAAAACTTATTGCCATGGAAGCTTCTCGAAACTGCAAGGGGAGATCAAGGAAGAATCAGTTGGTCAAAGCAGAGCCGGTGTTGGTGAGTCTCTAAATGATAGTGGGATTGTTAATTGTAACAATTGCTTGAAGAATAAGGCCCGTGAAGAAGCAATTAGGGACTTATGGGATTTTGCAAAAGAATTAGGAGTTGTAGCTGTAGGTGATGAAACGATGGTATTAAAAAAATTACAGGAGATGGAAAGTAAGGATAGATTAAAACACAATGACTTAGAGAAGGGTAATGGAGTTCAACAATGATTCTTCTCTCTTATAATATTAGAGGGGTGGGCAAAAGGGGGAAAAGAAGGGAACTCAAAAGGTTAGTCAACAAGGGGAAGGTGGACTTCCTTTTTATACAGGAAACAAAGACAGAATCTGTTGACAGGAATTTGTGTAGAGAGATATGGGGTTCTGATGAGTTTGATTGGGTGGGTAAACTTGCAGTCGGAATGTCGAGTGGATTATTGTGTATTTGGAATTGCAATGTGTTTAGGAGGGACAAGATTCTGGAAGGAACAGGTTTTGTTGGGTTTTTTGGCTTTTGGGGGTCAAAGGCCATACTATGCTATTTGGTGAATGTGTATTCTACATGTGAATTAGCAGGAAAAAGAAGACTTTGTGAAGAGTTGGGCAAGCTGATCAGTACAAGTAGGGGCAATTGGTGTCTAAGGGGGGGATTTCAATGCAGTAAGATCTAAGAATGAGAGAAAGAGGTGTATGGGAGTGAAGACAAAAATGAAAGAGTTTGATTGTTTCATAGAAGATAATAGCTTGGTGGATTTACCACTTATTGGCAGGAAGTATACTTGGTGTCAACCTAATGGCACCACCATGAGTCGCTTGGATAGGTTTCTATTTTTAAATGAATGGGTGTTAAATTGGGAAGGGCTAAAGCAATGGGGGCTATGTAGATGAATCTCAGGCCACTGCCCAGTCCTTGTGAACACGGAGAGTATTGATTGGGACCAAAACCTTTTCGCTTCTTCGATGCATGGATGAAGGTTTCCGGATTCCAAAAATTACTTGCTGAACTATGGAAATCCTTCCAAGTGGAGGGGTGGGGAGGCTTCAAATTACAAAAAAAATTAAAGATGATGAAGGCTTTTTTGAAAAATTGGAGTAAGGAAAAATTTCACAATCTAGACAACAGAATTGAGGAGGCCAAGCATCAGGTTGAAGCTTTGGATATCAAGGGCGAATCCCAACAGTTATCTGCAGAAGAAGAGGAAACCAGAAAACAAAAGAGTGTGGAGCTTTGGCAAATGTTGGAGAGCAAAGAAAGTATGTTAAGACAGAAATCAAGGAGAACTTGGATTAAAGAAGGGGATGAAAATACAAAATTCTTCCATCAATGCATCAAAGGAAGGTGGAGGAGGAATAAAATCAATAGTGTGAAAATCAATGGGAAAGATCTTAGGGAGGTGGAGGAGATTAAAAATGGCTTAATAATGTACTTTGAGAAGATGTTTGCAGATGAAGGATGGTCAGGACCAACTCTGGAAGGAATAAATTTTAAATAGGTCTTAGATGAAGACAACAAGATGCTTGTGGATAGTTTTAGCAAGGAAGAAGTAAAACAAGCAATATGGAATTGTAGCAGTTCTAAAGCCCTTGGTCCAGACGGATTTAATTTTGGGTGCCTTAAGGCATCTTGGGAAACAATAAAGGATGATGTCTTCCAATTCGTAAAGGATTTTCAAAAAAATGAAAAGCTGGTGAAAGGCTCAAATTCATCCTTTGTGGTACTAATTCCAAAAAAAGGATAATCTAATTCATGTTAAGGATTATAAGCCTATTTCCTTAATTGGGTGCATGTACAAAATTATTTCCAAGCTGTTGGCTAACAGATTGAGAAAGGTCATGGATGGAATAATAGGGAAGCAACAATCAGCATTTGTAAGAGGTAAACAATTAATGCACGGAGCGGTAGTGGAAAATGAGGCAACTGATGAGATAAAAAAGAAGAAAAAAAACTGCTTAATTTTCAAAGCAGATTTTGAAAAAGCTTATGACAAAGTGTGTTGGGAATTTCTTACCTTCATGATGGCAAAAATGGGCTTTCAAGCAACTTGGATAGGCTAGATTCAAGAATGCCTAAGAAAAAGTAGAATATCTGTTTTAGTAAATGGAAGTCCTACAAAGGAGTTTTCTATGAGTAGAAGGTTGAGGCAAGGGGATCCTCTGTTGCCCTTCCTGTTCCTAATTGTGGCAGAGGGACTTAATGGGATTATGAGACACTAGTGCAGAAAAGATTACTAGAGGGTGTGCAGATTGGGAACGGCCAGTTGGGTGTATCACATCTATAGTTTGCAGATGACATTATCATTTTTGCGAAGGCATTGGTACAGAATGTGTATGTAATAAAAGGGGTGATGAGAGCTTTTGAGTTGGTCTCGAGGTTAAAAATTAACTATATGAAAAGCAAGCTAATGGGAGTCAATGTAAATGAAGATTGGATCACTAGTATGGCTATGGTGCTCAATTGTGATGTTGGAGAGGTCCCTTTCAAGTACTTAGGCATTTTAGTTGGTGCTAATATGATGAGGCTGAAATATTGAAAACCACTTATTGAAAATTTTGAGAAGAAGCTGTCAGTATGGAAATACCGAAATCTGTCCTTGGGTGGTCGAATTGTCCTGATTAATTCTGTGCTTAATAGCCTTCCGATTTTCATGATGTCAATGTTTTTTATGCCAAAAGGAGTGATAAAAGTTTTAGATTCAATTAGGAGGGGT